TTTTACCATCAAGTTCTGGGATCTAAATCATTAGTTTTGTTTTGTTTTGGATATAGGGTCTCACTGTGTAGTTCAGGCTGGCTTTGAACTTACTGTGTAGTCCAGACTGGTCTCAAAACTCACGACTCTCTTGCCTCAGCCTCCTGAGTGCTGGGACTACAGGGATGTTCCGCCACACCCAGCTCTAAATAAGGGTTCTTAATGATGTTTAGGGTCTTATATTAGGTGGGAAAATCTAAATGTAGACATTTCAGGGGAACTTCCTTGAGGAGATAGGTTGAATTTTACCTTCTCTGTTGGACTATTAGCATTTCCCTCCTGTTATTTAGCCGTTATGCGATAGAAAGTGAATCATCTAACACTGAGTTTTACCTATAGGCCCTGGTGTCTTGAGTTTTCTGAGCTAGAGAGTGGGCTCAAAAGGGTGATCATGATCTTGGCAGGTTCCTGTTATGCTTTATATTAGATATCCTCTGAGAGCTTCATGTGCTCACGTGGGGCTTTTGGAAAGTGATTGGATTATGAGGGCTTATAGCTAGCTTGTTTTTAGAAATGGGGAAGAGAGGGGTTCTGGTCAGAAGAAGGAGGTTACTGTGGGTATGACCTGGAAGGGTTCATCTCCCTGGTTCTTGCTTCATGCTCTACTTCTTACCCATGCCATGAACGGCTATTCCTTCACCGTGCTATTATGTTGTGCTATCCTGTCTTGGTGCCAGCTGAGAATGACTGGAAACACAAGCCAAAGCAAACCTCTCCTTTAGTTTATGGGTGTCAGGTATTGTGTCTCAACGATGAAGAAAGTAGCTAAGACAGATTTGTATATTGATAAAGTAGGATAATTTCTGTGATGCTGTGTGACTGTGTGGTTTAGAAGTTTTTGGAGCTAGTTTGCAAGAGGAGAGGTTTGTAGAGTCCAGCTAGGAAAGAAGCCCTAGAATGCTGTAAGCAAAGTTTGATGAAGGATTTTAGCTAGAGCTGAGAAGATCAGAATGAAGGATTAAAAAGCAGATGTAAAGACCAGGCCCAGGAGGTTTCAGTTGGGAAGGACTTTGCAGAAAACTGAGATTAAGGGTATCAGGCTAGTTAATTTGGTGGAAGAAATTTTAAGACAGTCCAACATTCAGGCTGTGGCCGAATTGGGTGGTTTTAGCCAGCTCTGCATTGAGAATCAAAAACAAATGTTGCAGCTGAATGATTTTTTTTTTTTTTTTTTTTTT